GCTAGCTGGAAAGCTCTCACTCTTGCGAATCAGTACTGACTCTTTGGAAACCTGCAGGCTGGTTCCTGCAATTTCCCGGTCTGCAAGTGCTTATCCAGACGCCCCAGGGAAGGGCTCTTGCCTTTCCCCGCCGGGCGGAGGGTCTTGCTGCAAAGTGAGCGTGGTGGYGGCGGCGGGGCTGCAGGCGGATCTCTGCGGACAAGTAGATCAGAGCAGGAGCTCCACAGCCGAGGCACAAAGCAAGGTCAGCAGCCCAGGGACGTGCGGGGATCCAGAAGCAGGGCAAGGACTGGAAACCGGGACACGTGCGCCAGGAGGTGGAGGCAGGAAGAGGGGAGGCTCCAAGGGGCTCGGAGCGGGTCCGGCCACGCGTATCTGGGCATCCCTTGAAGAGCTCCCTGGGGAGCGTGCGGAGCCGGGGCTCCTTCCCGGATCCAGGCTTGCTGGAGCTAGGCTTGCGGGACAGCCCTTGCCGTAGGCTTAGCCCATGGTGAGGCCCATCAGCTGCTCCGGGCAGAAATCCTGCACGGGAATTTCTCTCTGAAACRGTAGGATCCTGCTGTGCGTCCCCCATGGCGTTTGCCACCCTAGCAGCTAGTTCTGGGTTAGGCTGTTCTAGTCAGACAGTCCCTGGGGACATTTTGGCACCTTATGGCAGCCTGGAAAAGCCTCCATAGATTCTGGTAGTTAAAAATGGAGTTTTCTTGTGTCTGCTTGCTTCCTGGGTTTTTTTTTTCCCCCATTAAAAAAGACCTGACTTTGCTGTTAGACTCTTCTCATTGCTCCTGCTTATTTTTGTTTCCAGCCTACAAGGAGAAAATGAAGGAGCTGTCTCTGCTCTCTCTCATCTGCTCCTGTTTCCACACCCAGCCTCATCCCAATACCATCTACCAGTATGGAGGTACGTATGGTGTCCGTAGAGAAGCTCGGGAATTGTTTGCATATGTCCCTTGCCAGCAGCCTTGGTGACCATGGGAGCTCTTGGGCACCCTGAGCTGTCCCACACTGGAGGAGCAATCCACGTTTTAACCGACGGTCTCAATTTAGTCGCCTTTCACAGCTTATTTTATGGCCCTAGTTGTCTTTTACAGTTTATTTTATGGCCTTCAGGTGACCGCTCTCCTTCTGTTTGTTTGGTTTTCCCCTTCGCAAAGATATGGAGGTGAAGCAGCTGGATAAGAGGGCATCGGGCCAGAGCTTTGAAGTGATCCTGAAGTCCCCTTCGGATTTATCCCCCGAGAGCCCAATCCTCTCCTCTCCCCCCAAGAAGAAGGATCTGTCCCTGGAGGAGCTGCAGAGGAGGCTGGAGGCTGCCGAGGAGAGGAGGAAGGTAAGGAGATATTCCATAATTTTTATGTTATTTTTTGTGTGATTTGTTCTTTTTTTTTTGTTTTGTGTGAGTTTTGTGTGATTGCTCCTAATTGCACCAAGCCCTAAAATTCCCCTATCAAGAGCAATCTAAAATAACTGGAAATCATGTCCTTACACGAGTTCTTATTCATCTATAAGTTATCGAGTGAGGCATGGGAGTCGCTCGGTGAATTTTGCAGCCTGTTTTAGGCAGGAAATTGAACCCGGTCACAATCTTCCTTCGGCTCTTAAAACTGCACAGACAAACAGAACAGAATCTTCAAGGTTGGAAGGGACCTCTAGAGATCATCCAGTCCAACCTTCCCGCTCAAACCGGGACACCCAGAGCACAGGGCACAGGGTGGCATCCAGGTGGTTTTGAAGACCTCCAGAGAAGGAGATTCCACAACCTCCCTGGGCAGCCTGTGCCAGGGCTCTGTCACCTCACAGTCAAGAAGTTCCTCCTCACCTGGAGATGGACCCTCCTGTGTTTCARCTTGCACCCATTGCCCCTTGTCCTGTCACTGGCCACCACTGAGACGTGGTGGTCTCCGATGCCGCAGATGTGAGGTCCCTAGCAGCTGAGGTCCCTAGCGTGAGGTCCGTACGGGCTGAGGTCCCTAGCAGCTAACGCAGTGGGAGATGTGGAGATGGGGCTGTTGGCCAGGCTCTTGGGCCCTTCCATGTTTTCCCACGGCATTGCCTCCCGCAGACCCAGGAAGCGCAGGTGCTGAAGCAGCTGGCGGAGAAGCGGGAGCACGAGCGGGAGGTGCTGCACAAGGCCCTGGAGGAGAACAACAACTTCAGCCGGCTGGCCGAGGAGAAGCTCAACTACAAGATGGAGCTGAGCAGGGAGATCCGCGAGGCGCACCTGGCCGCCTTGAGAGAGCGGCTCCGCGAGAAGGCAAGCGAGACAGCCCGTGTCCTTGGCCCCTTGGGTCCTCGTGTCCCGGTCCCGGCGGGACCGCGCTCGCCCGGTGCCCCTGGGGCATCTACATCTTGGGTATCCTCACGCCTAGTCGGTGTCTTCTGTCCTTGCAGGAGCTGCATGCGGCCGAGGTTCGCAGGAACAAGGAACAGCGGGAGGAGATCTCCGGATAAAGGGCTTTTCTACACCTCTGGCACCTGGTTCCTGTTAACAAACCGACCCACCCACACMTTTTCTTTTGTTTGTCTAGATGCAGCATTCGGGTCTCCATCCTTTCCCTGCCCCGGTGTTAGTGCCCCAGCCACACGCTTCTCTATCTCCGCATCCTTAATCGTTCAGTACTCGTGGGGATTCACAGATCATAGGGACCTCTAAGCAGAATAGCAACTAGTTCACATGAAATATAGGATCAATGAATCAGGCAATCAAACAGCTTCTTTGGGGGGGGAGTTGTCCTTTTTTTAAAAGATATTTCTTAAACTGATGTAAAGAATTAAGTTATTAATAAATTCAACCAGCAGTGTCACGGAGATACGGATTTCTTATCCGGGGCTTTTACTACTCTTGGTGTTTGCTCTGAGCCAAATATCAGTTTGAGAACAATGGCAAGTGCTGATTTCTTTATGTGAAGTGGTGTAACTAATAGATTCTTTATTTCCCAGTAGTAGGAGACGGGAATAAGAGAGGGATGGGATGGCTCAGGGAGCTACGGCGCGCAGACCTTTCCACCTCCTGGTTATTACCTGAAGCCAGCCCAGGTAGGCAGTGACCAAAAGTCGTTATCTGTGGATGATTCTTTGATAGCGCAAATGCAAATAGCTCGGGGTCTCAAACCAGAGCTTGGTGAGAGGTGCCCACCTCACTGGAAGTCCCTATTACAGCAAGCATGACTTGATAGCCTAGTTGACTTGATAGCAGACTGCACAAGCCTGTAGACTGAGGTGGTCTTTGTCCAAGAGAGGGAAGACCAAGACAGCTTGGTCAAGCAGCTCAGGAGAACCTTGTGCTGCTCTTGCCTCTATTGAACCTGGGCCCTTGGGTGTCCCAGGAGGACGAGGCTGGGTCTCCAGGCCTGTCCAGTGCTTTCCCAAACACAATATTTCACTCCAGTGAGAAACCAATTCAAATAGAAGTGGTGCATGATTGCAAAGTAGCCCACAGGCCTTTAGCGAGCGGGATAATCGTCCTTCCCTCCTTCCAAAGATGGATGTGACTCAGGGCGCACATTGAGACCAGAGCTCACGGAATAAGCCACAGAGCTCTGGTTCTTGGGTGGCACGTTGCGAGGAAGGGCACGCTGGTTGCATGCAGGGTTCTTGCAGCTTCGGAAAAGATGGAGCAAAGAGAGGAGGAGACGAAGAGTGGGGAGAGGTTCACGTGCTCGTTTGTTGTCTACCTTGAGCTTTTCAAGGCCTGTTTTAAGAAGAGGTTCTCCATGGAGGTAGAGACAAGTAGAAAATACTCAAGCGTGGCAGTGATAGCTGTAAGGTCCGATCTAAACAGCTGACTATCAAAGCCTGTGAACTTCCCAATCTTTTAATGTCATGATTGCTGAAGCTAAAGCCTGTGAACTTCCCAACCTTCTAACGCTGTGATTGCTGAAGCTAGCTGAGGTCCCGGCAGCCGCCGTGCCCACAGCCGAGCGATGTGCCCTCCTCTCACTAGCACACATAGCGCTGCTGCCGCTGCTCCTGCCTTGCGAACCTGCCTGGGAACGTCGCGGATGGAGCACAGGGACACGAATGACACCGAGGGTGCAGGCGGGTGCCTTAACCTGGCACAGAGGTGCCAGGCGGCGGTCAGGAACTGCAGCAGACGAGCGCTTTGCATTGGAATAACGGGGCCACTTGCCTCTTGCTCCTTCTTAGACACACTCCTTGCCGAGTCTTTCCGAGGTCCAAGGGCTCTGCCTGCTCTGGGATCTGGTTTTGCCCCCAGACAGCACCGGCCGGGCACGGAAACCCAACGAATGCCAAAGAGCAGCAGCTGCTGGAAATCAAATCCCAAGCCTCGTTGCTCATCTCCCCAGGATTCCCATTTGGATTAGGGAGAGATCTCTCCATGGCCATGACCTGTCTGATGGCGGGGGAACCATCAGGATGGTAGGAGCATCCTTGCTCCTACAAGGAACCTTATTCACCCCCTCTGCCCAGGAACGGAGGGGGCCTGGGCTGCTAGGAAGCCCCAGCACCATCCAGGGATGGGAAATATTTGGGGCAAAGAGGGAAAAGGGAAGGAAACTGAGGGTTGAATTTCTTAACAGTAGCTAAGGATCAGTTTATAGTAGCAGCTGTCTTAGATAAGCATCTGTGTAGAGCGCGGAGTCACCGCCAGCATCACCTCATCCATATAGCGACGATCCATTTCAAAAAAAAAAAAAAAAAAAGTTTAAAAAAAATTAAAAAAGTAATTTAAACGAAATGTTTGTGTGTAAGAAATGGTTGAAACTGTCAAATGTCTGTGTCCCGCGTTGGTGGGATCTGAGAAGGTATCTGCAAGATATTAACCCTGTCCTACTCTCTGTGGTGCTGAGTGTTTGCTTGGTGTGTAATTCTGACCTGAAGCTTGTTGTAAATACTGTTTTTAGTACTATGATGATGATGATGATGATGATCAGAAATGTTGTATTCATGAGCAGGAAGCTTAAAGCAGGAGAAATGGCCGTTTTCACTGGATCTTTGCGGTCGGAGGAGCTCGGGGGCCGGGCGCGGGCAGGATGCCGGGCGCGGGGACGCGGCTCCCGCGGGGCAGAGCCGGCCCGGTGCCCGCTCCGCAGCCGGGGCGCCGCGTCCCGCGGGGACGGGAGCAGCCAGAGGCCGCTCCGAGGCTCGCGGAGAGTGAGGACGGGCCRAGACGTGATAAAGACGGTGCTTAACTCCATGCTCATGGCATGTATCCCAGTGGGATACATCACTGGCCATGATCCCCGCTCCGCGTGAGGATGCTCCAGTCGGTCCCCTGCAGCCAAGGGGCACCTGAGGTGCTGAGGTCTGGTCTGCACCGTGGCGGAGATGCTGGGGACGGGTTGTGTCTAGTTAGAGCGACCCTTCCATGCATGGCTCCGGAGGCCCGGGACGTGTTTCCTTGCACCGGTGTCCTCATGGTGCCGGCTACGGCCCGTTAGTGCAATCCCTGGTGCAGCTAAAGACCAGCCTCGCGCTCAGGTGGACCTGGTTCTTGCAGCCGCCTTGCCTGGCCAGCAAACGCGCTGGAGACGGCAGGACACCCAGGCCAGCTCTGTCCTTGCGGGGAAGCCTCTTGTGCAAAGGGAGCGAGCAAAGGGAGCAAGATCTTGTGCAAAGGGAGCAAGACCTGTGCAAAGGGAGCAAGATCTTGTGCAAAGGGAGCAAGACCTGTGCAAAGGGAGCAAGATCTTGTGCAAAGGGAGCAAGACCTGTGCAAAGGGAGCAGGATCTTGTGCAAAGGGGCATCGTGGAAGCGATCCTGCTGTAACCCGGAGGCAGGGTGGCTTTTAGCACCAGCCATGCGGATTGCACCGTTGCACCCTTGCCACCACCCGCGGGTCCCCAATCCCCGTCCCCAGGGCGCAGGGAGGTGACAGCCCGAGCGGCGCCAGCCACGCTGCAGCCTCCCGGTTCTCCCGCCTGGGATGCGGGGCYGGGATCCCTGCTGGGGTCGGGAAACGGCTTCCCAGCGCGATCGGAGCCTTGCGGGGTTTCCTCCGGGTCCGTTTCATTGTCAGCTCGAGGTTGTTGTTGTGCAAAAGAAGTGATTATGAAAAAAATGGAAAAAAAAAAGGAAATAAACTTGGTATGAAACCACAGGTGTCTGTCTTGCGCGTTATTTCACTGGTTTCATTCTGCTTGTGCTGTGAGAATAATAAAGTGCATTAAACAAAAAAACAAGGTGGAAATTTAACAAAATAGAAGTGAAGCTTCTCTGTCCTTCACGGGTGTAATCCTTCATATCCCCAGCTGATGTAAAGGCAGCAAGATCCATGRTTTAACTCCCTTCTCCAAGAAAAACACGGCTAGAGGCTTGAAGGAAGGAAAAGCAAACAAACAGCCCCGATGGGCAGGAATGGGCAGGAAAAGCCCTTCCAGGGGAGCATCAAAAACCCGCGGAGGAGGCGGTTACCAATGGAATATATCCCAGCTAGACCATGCACGAGCGGCGCAGCAATGTCGGGGGCAAGGGGGACCCCCAGAGCGTCCCCGCGGCCACAACCACGTCCCTTCTGCAGCAAGGGCCGCAGAGCTGCTCCTGGAAAGGTCCCGGGTTGCGGGCGCCGGGGCGGGCTGGGGCCGGCTCTGCGGCGGCGCCCGCGCAAACAGGATCTCTATTTTTGCAACGCGACCTTCATGCTTCTCGTGATAACGACCTGACTGGAAGTGCAGCGCCGCCTCCCGCTTCCCCATGCGCTGCTGGCCCAGCTGTAAGAACGCTTAAAAATATATATAAAGGATATAATAAGTAAAGGACATAATGGTACCCACATAAAGGGTTATTTTTCCTTTGTTTTTCCTTGGAAAAGGCCTGGTGCCTTGGAGCTGTGGCTCCTTTGTGCAGCAGATACTCAGCACTGTCCTTGTGCCCTCGTGCCCGTGGGCATCCTGCTTGCAGGCAGGGCGACACCAAGTTTTGGGCCAAATTATGGCGGGAATCAGTGTACTTTTAAAGGGACATGAACAGGGCAAGCGCCTCCCAGCTCCTGTCAATGCGGGAGCTGTGTCTGAGCGAGGGACAAATCATCGCTTTCTTCCCCCTCCCAAAATTCCCTACTGAGAAGCAGAGTAAAAAAGTTCCCAGAGAACATCTGAATGTCCTTMATTTTATTAGGGCTTTGGTGGTGGCAAAGCAGCCCGGCAGAGCCTTGGTGCGGGTGGGGGGCACTGAGGACCCCCGCGAGCCCCAGGGCACCCCAGGGCCTGCACTGGTGCCCCCAGGGACCACAGGCACCCCCGTGGTCCCAAACATCCCACGCCAATAGCCAAGCCATGCCCAGGAAGGGTCCAGGGTGGACACGCACATGAGCCCCCCCAAGGCTCCCAATGCACCCAGGGGCTTCCTATCTGCACCCGGACACCCGAGGGGATGGGGAGAGATCCACAGGGATGTGGGGGAGACACAGAGGGATGCGGGGGAATATGCGGTGCCAGGTGCCCGTGGGACGTCCCCAGCCCTGTGCCAAGGTGCTGCAGGACCCACCTTGGTGCATGTAGGACTGGGCAGGGGGTCACACAGAGCCTGGGGTGCACAGACCACCCCCGCATGCACGCAGGGCTGCAAGGCGGGGAAATGCACGCAGCGCAGGGTGCAGTGCAGATCCCCTCCCCACGCAAACAGGACTGATGGGGCAGGGAGCCCACGAAACTGRGAATGCCCCCCCCCCCGCCCCAAGCACGCAGAACCGCAGGGACCTGCACATGCACAAGCCGGGCTGCAAACCCCCCATGCAAGATGGGCCGAGGGGGTGGGGGGACACGCACAAACGGGGGTGCATGCGGACCCCACCATGCAGGCTGCACTGGGGGGGGTGCACGCGCAGACACCCCCTCCCCGGCACCGCGGAACGCGCGCGGCAGCGCCCCGCTCCCGCCACCCGCCCCGCGCGCATGCGCAGCGCGCCGCCCCGGCACCTATTTCACAGGCGCCTCGCGCCGCGGCTCCCCCGCCAAATAAGTCCCCGCGGCGCCACTGCGCGTGCGCGGGGGCCAGCGCG